AATAGTTTGGAATCTTTTGTAAAAATATGAATTTGGGTGTGTTTCATTTTCATGTTCTCCCCTCATAGTTTTCTATTTCTCTCCCTCAGAGGCTCCAACCGTCGTGCCTTTAAGGTGGCAGCACTGACAACCATTGCATGCCTGCTGCTGGCCAGCCAGGTCTTCACTGCCTACATGGTGTTTGGCCAGAAGCAGGAGATCCACTCGCTGCAGAGAAACTCAGAAAGATTGGGCAAACAGCTTGCCCGCTCATCCAAAGGTAAAAAGGAGGCATGAAAGTCCCAATGATCAGACTGGGTGGTCCGAGCAGGAATGTGTCACTAATGAGTAAATAGTCTTGGAGGAGGAGGAGGCCGGAGGAATAAGGAGGTGGATAAGGAAGTGAGGATTTGCTTTCAGGAACTTGATACGAAACCTGCACAGAGAAATGAACATTTGCTTTCAGCTGTGTGCTATACGCATGTTGATCTTATCGTTTCGAGCAGCGTCAGATAGAGTTACCATACTTAACAAGCATCCTTTAGAGGATTGATTTATCTTTTGCCTGCATTTTATTCAGTTTTCATTTTCTATTTATATGTTTTTAGTTGTTTTTAGTTATTTATGAATTTATTTATTCTGTGGCGCTGTAATGTTTAATGTTATTTTAGATCACTTCATTAGCTTTCACTAATAACAAAGAAATATTATCTCTCCAACGTTTCTTTTTTTGCAATAACATATTTTTGGGTTTTTTGTTTTTCTTTGTTCATTTATTAATTTGTTTGTTTGTTTGTTTGTTTACAGCTCCAATGAGGATGCAGATGCCCATGATGAGTCTTCCTCTGCTGATGGACTCGACTTTAGATGAGAACGCCAAGACACCCATGACTGTAGGTTTACACCTGCTTCCTATAAAGTACAATTCATTGAACTCGATCTAGGTGGCAACCGATTTATTGCACATATTGACCTGGATTATGTATAATGCATGAATATGTTTCGACATAAATTCAAACACACATTATCTGACTCCTTTCTTCCCTCCCATCAGAAACTGAAGGACAGTGTTGTCGGCTTGGAGACACAGCTGAAGGATCTCATGCAGGTATGTTGCTACTCGTGTGCTGTGCGTCCTCACGTTGCTGATGTTGTGTTGTCACTAAGCTCTCGTCATGTTTTGAAGCAGGACTCCCAGCTGCCGCAGTTCAACGAGACCTTCCTGGCCAACCTGCAGAGCATGAAGCAGCACGTGAATGAGAGCGAGTGGAAGGTAAAGCCTCTCACACATTTACATGAAGACTACTAAAACAAAAGACAGGCATGAATACATTAATTTGCATGAATTTATACATTTTGCACTCTGCAGAGCTTTGAGTCCTGGATGCGTTACTGGCTGATCTTCCAGATGGCCCAGCAGAATCCTCCAACCCCAACACCGGAATCAGGTTACTGCAACTTTCTCTCCTTTACATTTTAGTGTTTAGTTGATCTTCTTATCCAGACACATGCTGCGACAGTAGATGATGGGTTTTCCAGTCGGGAGTTTAAGGCCTGTTGCTGTAATATATCAATGTGGCAATTTTCATTTATTTGTTTATGTGTAAGGGACAAGTACAGAGAAACACTGACAGTTGCCCAAGTACTCTACATGTGTATATAGCTGAAGCTACTTTCCAACACCAGTCCTTTGATGGGCATTGATAGCAGAACATCTCCAGCATTGACACAAGTATAAATAATGACTAGTTTCTGTCATAGTTACAGTTAGTTATTATTTTGTGCTCAGTAGTTGACAATATATCAGTGGCTTGATTAAGATAACATTTACTATGATATTAGTAAATGTTTTGCCACTGTCACTGAGTTTCGAGGTGGAGAGGTTGTTATATCGTGCAAAGGGTAATGCGTGTTATTTCCTGCACTGCTCACGGTGAAACTTGAAGCAAAGATTTAGCCTTGCCTTCAAGGAATAGTTTGACAAAAGGCTTATTTGCTCTCTGAAAGAGAGTTACATGAGAAGATCAATACCACTCTTATATGTGTCTGTTGAATATGAAGTTGCAGCCTGTTAGCGTAGCATAAAAGCTGGAAACAGCTAGCCTGGCTGAGTCCAAAGATAACAAAATGCTCCTACTGTACCAGCACATCTAATGCTCACTTTGTCAACACATCGTTTAACAAAAACAGGGTTTTTGTTCAGATTAAATTGATGAGCTCTCGAGGTGCAGGTCGGTGTATTTTGTTACCTTCGGACACAGCCAGGCTAGCCGTCTCCCCCCTTTACCAGTGTTTGTGCTATGCTAAGCTAACCAGCTGCTGGCTGTAGCTTCATATTAAATGGATAGATAGGATGACGGTATCCATCTTCTAACTTTCGGCAGGAAAGCAAATACGTGCAATTCCTCCAAATCCCTGCTTTGCTGCAGTCACCAGTAATTATTAAAACTATTTAATGTCCTCTACTATTTCCATCCCTCAGCCTCTGTGATCAAGACCAAATGCCAGACGGAGGCAGCAACTGGAGTCAGCAAGGTCGGTGCCTACAAGCCCCAGTGTGACAAGCAGGGCCACTACAAGCCCATGCAGTGCTGGGCCCCCACCGGCTTCTGCTGGTGCGTGGACGCGACTGGCAAGCCCATCGAGGGCACCAGCATGCGCGCCCGCCCCGACTGTCAGAGAGGTAGAAGACACAGATTAAAGGACTTTTGATGCTACTGTCTGTAGCTTTTCATGCGAGGTTGTCATGAATGATGAACTTAATTGCCCCATTTTCTTTTTTTCAGTTCAACCTAGGATGGTTGCCCCCATGCTGATGCAGAAGACCCTCAGCGTTGATGGTGAGTTTCTCATATTAGGCTTTTTAGTGGATTCGTTTTTTTTTTTGCTATTGCCAGGATGCAAAAACTGGTACAATTATTGAAACCACTAACTCATCAACTCTATTGACCAGCTGTGCTAAACCACAAGCACATTGTCTGCTTTACACTAAGTCTGGAATTCTAAAACACACTTTTTGATATAACTACAGACGGTTATCTACATCAGACAAAACACAACCATTGAAATACCACACTCAGTCATCAATTACCTGCACCCAGAATACACCTGTAACCAATTAGATCACGTAGGAATCAGATCTTTAACACTATAAATAGGACTCTGGTGTGCACAACAAGAAAGGCCAAATTTGGGAGAGAGACTTTGAGGACTGTAACTGCAATATACTGTTTTGTGTTTACAGTACCAGACAGATCTTCAGTCAAAGTCAATAAATTAAACACATTGTATTTGTTTTGCAAGAAATGTAAGATATTCTGTGCTTATGTTTTTGGGGTGTTAAATCTTGACAAAGACGGCTTTAGTTTCAGAAATTGTTTTAGCAATTGCAAAAAACAGTTAAGATGTTTATTCACAAGCTTGTGTTACTACTCGTCATCTCATGTTATGTTCTTTTCTTTTTCCAGATGAGTGAAAACAAGTGAAGCAGAGGGTTTGCAGTTTCTTTTCATCAAGCTCTGCAGACATGAGAAAAAAGTTATTTTAAGCTGGATGCAGACCCGCCTACAGTTAATGTTTTAATTCCTGATCAGTTCGTGCACTTCCATGTAATTTCTAATTTTCACTATTTTGCTGGCTGCTTGAAATAAAATCAATATAGGGCTGTTACAGTGTATTGCTTTTAACATTTAATCTTTGTCTTTTATATATTTTGGAGGTGTTCTGGACATTTTAATCTTGATATTCACATAATCACACTTTTCTCACTGACCTCTAGCATGTCGACATGGAGGTAGTTCAGTTTTGAAGACATCGTCTGAGAAGTCTGCCTGCACGCTACAACAATGGAGGCAAATTAAAGTTTGCTTATGGTGCATACAGCATTGAAACATTACATTTAAAATATAACAGCCAGACTCTTTCCTGAAAAGGTGAAGTCTGGATTATTCAGAGTAACGGGGACACAGACTCTCAGGAGAGATTTTTATTAATGCTGTGAGCACCACAAATTAACCTCCGATAAATAAAACCAAAACTATCTGCATGGCTATATATGGGTTTAGTGAGAATATGTGCTTTGTAATTTTGGTGAACCTACTCTTTAAAAAGACTGAACGTATGAGATGGAGACTGAGGATGTTTGTGATAAGGTTCAATAAATTTTTCTGACCACACTATTTGCATTGTTATCTTATACCTGATAAGATTCACTGATACTGCTCACTTACCTCTTCCATCAGTTTCTAGTTTAGAGTTTGACTTCTTATTGACGCTGACACTGGACTCACTCAGTTTTAGACATTTGCTGTTCAAGAACTTAAAACATGTAGCAATTATCGATTTAATCATCCTTTGATTATCACTCTTTTGTACATGGTTTTACAACCATCACTTCTTTCCCCAACACAGCAGTCAAAACAACCAGTTCAAGCACTGTGACAAGCAATTGTATTTGTCATTAAATCATAAAATTACAAGACCACTGGTCCTACTAAAGGAGAGCCTGACGGGAGAGACGAAGAGGTGGGCAACACAAGGTGCACCAAAGAAAGATGGTAAAAGAATAATCACTACTACCAAAATACACCTCTCACCCACTGACTGGAATTAAAGACAGCTCGAGCTTATCAGTCACTACACAAACAACCAGTAACTAATATATATAGTCTGACCTTTTCATGGCATACATCAGCAGGAAATACATTTGTATGTAGTCATCAAATATAGTGACACGTTGGCAGACTGACTTACATTTATAGCATAAAGCCATGACTTAACGCGGGTACTATGAATTACCACAGTTGTATATTTGAGTGGGGTGGGCTGTGTTAAATCAGCTTTCCTAAGAAAAGTACAGATACTTCCTATCTGACTCCACATATGGCCCTTGAAAATCACAGTGTGCCTCTAACCCTAGAACTTGGTGTGTGCCTCAAACATGAGGTGAAAAAGAAGAGGCCTACCACACTTTGAGCTTGGCCTTTTCTTTCCCAAGCACCTCCCACTGACACACCTGTTCCTCCTTCCTCATCTGTCTTCCCTATAATTAACTGGATCACCTAAATTCCCCGTACTGTACAAAGCTAACAAGCTGGCCAGTTTAAATGAGGCAGTGCTTATCATCAAATCAATGCAATTAAATGAACAGGATCTGCTGGGCAAAGAACAGAACCATTGTGCTGTTGACATGCAAAAATTGCAATGGTATGATTAATTTGGGGGTATTTACTCCTGCTCTGAGGAAGTGCTGTGTGTCCTAGAACACAGGTCTTCCCTTTTTTATGAGATGTGAGGAAGAGGAGCTGAAGAAAATCAGAAGTCAAGTGAGAATAAAAGCACTGAACGCAGTCACCGGTTAGTGGTAAACACCTACAGATAAACTGACCAGAGGGTAAGTGCTTTTCTTGACTTGCTGAGTTTATGTTCTGTCAATGCATTTTTGAGGTCCAGTTGTAGATTATAGAGTTGTCCGGTTGGGTGGAGACCTTTTTTAGCAGCTTTTAATACTGCTTGAGATGTACGGCATCACTGACAAAACAGGGAGTTTGAAACAATTTTGCAATTGGAATCAAGAAAACGATATAGACCACATTTAGAAAAGAAAGTTATTCAAATAAAATGTTCTGTTACCTATAAAAACCTGTATATAGGCAGAGTTTATTTTGGTTACAGATGGTCGAATTTAACGCCTTTTATGATCTGTTAAATGTTACAAAGGTGCCTTACTATAAATAAAAAAGCATGTTAGGTAATATTTTAAAAATGTCTTTTTCAGGACTTGAGACTCTACTCTGGATCTTGACATTTTCAGGTGTCGCTGACAGTCCTCCTGCCTACGATGACACTGAATCAGAGACTGATTCTGTTCCTGCTGTTGGCACTCACTGTCACTTCAGAAGCGGCCCCTTCTCTTTGTGTACTGGATATGACTCGGTGTGTGTGCGACGTTATGGTTATCCGCAACCCACAAAGTCTGAATTGTGGGTTGCTTTGGAGCTGGAGCTGAGAGATGGCAAATTGGATGTAAGCGATATGGACACATTCCTGGGGCCAAATATTTTTCTGTTATTACGGGTAGAAAAACTAATTTTCAATAACGTCACAATCCCCTCTTCATTCATCAGTGCCGTGATCCCTCTTCTGTCATTCTCAAATTTGAACACAATTAACATAATTTCATCAACCCTGAAAGGTGTCCGGCATTTAGAGTATCCAGAGTTACCGAAAGCATCTCAAATAAAAATACTTCTCCTAGAAGACGTAAGAGTGGACCCCGTTCTCCTACAGCCCTCATTCCGGGGGCTCCATCGCTGGTTGTTTGGCTCCCTGAAATCTCTGGCCCTTGTTCGTTGCGGCCTGGTTGAGATCGACTGCAGCTGGGCTCAAACAGTAGAAAACCTGGCGCAGCTTGATCTGTCAGAGAACCCCATCTCTTTCACGAGCCTGCAGAATATCCCACATTGCTCCTCTCTTTCATTCAATCATCTGAAATCTCTTCATCTGAGACGCAACAACCTCGCCTCCCTCCAGTCTCTCTGCACGCTCCTGAGTCTCACCCCTGCCCTCACCGTACTTGATGTCAGCAGGAACAATTTCTCAATCGTCCACTATCCGCAATGCCCCCAGTTGAAGCCGCTCAGGATGCTCAATCTGTCCCACTCGGGGATCACAGAGATTCATTTGCTGAACTGTTCTTCTCTGGAAGAACTGGATCTAAGTTATAATTCTCTGGAGGTATTCAACAACCCTCCACTGACCCTGAAAAAGCTAAATTTGTCTCATAACCGCCTCATACATCTCCCCTGTCTGGGTAACCTGCCTCAGCTCCAGGAGCTGAAGGTGGACAGTAACCCATTTACCATCTTGATGAATGAGACATGTGTGGTCCAGAACAACACAGATGGTGTGTCTGTGGTGGACTTGCCTGAAGAGCTTCCAGTGGACCAGCAGGGGACTCAGACTATGAATTCCTCTCTTGAAACATGTGTGAAGCCGACCTGTGGGACACAACGCAACCACTCTCCTCTCTGCCTGTCACTCTTTATGGGTTTATTGTCATACCTTGTTTATTTTTGTTGATTGTTTGCAGAAAACATCTTTGTTTGGGTACCACTTTTAAAAAAAGGCATGAACGATTTAACTGATAGTCTATTAGCCAATAGTAAAGCTATTTACTAAAACGTAGTTATCAGTTATATGCCTTTAATGACAACAACGTTTGGGTTGCCAGGTTGTGAAAATCCCTAATAGACCAAAATCAATTAATTTATTACAGGTGCATAGGTTGCATTTCTATTGCCTCTCAACTGCCCTCAACACGTTAGCTCATAGCTAACAGGACAAACTAGGGCAAATGTGCCGACAGACACTAACGGTGTTTAACTGAGCGGGAAGCGCCCCGGAGGTTGGGCGCTACACTTCTGTGGTGATGCTGTAGGTCGGGACCATTGACCAAAGGGTCGGGCGGCATTACCAGCTGTAACAGCCATGTCAGAGCAACTATAACTGATCTATAAAGCATTAAAAATGATTAAACAATAAAAAACCTTTCATACCATTATTGGTCAATTTCAACCTATAACCACATTGTAAGGGTGCCATAGAAAGTGGCAACCTTGTGAATGATAAAATGGAAAATGAATACAGGATAAATCGGTTTCACACATTTTCTTTTAATCTCCCCATTGTTTGCAATATCTTTGTAAATCTAAGTGATTCAAAACAGATTCAATAAATCTGATAAATTCATACCTGTTACTAATACATGAGTCTGATCTCTTTCTGTTATTTCAAAAATACATTGTAAAAGTGTTTTACAGTAATTATTTCATAGTTTTTACTGCTCATACCCTCAGTTGTGCCGTATGTGTCCATCTTGGAGACTACACCCTGATCACCCAGACCAGTGAAAGTAGATTCTGGTTCATTAATATTTCAGTGCAGTGTAATGAAATCCAGGTGATCCAGGCTGTGCTACACATACGCATGGGATGGCCACTGTGAACATGAACGCACCTGTAAGTACCTTCTTTTATCAACCATGTTAGTGTGTAAAGATGGGAAAGACATTAGGGGAACTAAGACTGCTGTGTTTGATTTGATCAGTTTTGACCAATTTCCATGTTTCTCCAGTTGTGTGAGGGAGGAGAAACAGTGAGAGTGGGAGTAGTTCTGACTGCACTCCCGGGTAAAGCAAAGACAAAAAATGTAAAGTCTGTAAATTTGCTATGCTGTCGGAAATTTTTGTTTAAATGTTAGTTTTTTTGTGTTTGGGTAAAGACGATGTAGTTATCGGTGAGGAAGGACGTGGTTTGGACTACAAATCGGGAAAGGACAAGGTAAAACATTTGGATTTTCTTCAATCAACATTCAGCAATTTGCTTTCTGAAACCTCCGTGATGTTGTCTCACTGTTGTAATGTGTTTTTCAATCAGGAAGCAAAATCCTTCTCCTTTGACCAAGTTGTGACTGTTGACAACATACAGGTACAAAAGAGCTTCTGACCTCTGATTTAAATCAAAGTGACTGTGTTAGAGCTGTACTCCGCTAAGCCTCTTTATCACCAAACGTTTTGGAATGTCTGGAAACTAAAAGTCTGAATATAATTCTGCAGAGTTTCCACCCTGAGTTCCTGCAGCCTCTCACTGAGTCCGTATCAGGTGGTTTCAATGGAGCGCTGCTGATATGTGGAGCCTCCACAGAGAAGATTAGCGCTCTGATTGACCAAACTATCATCAAACAGGTGAAGCTTCAAACAAAACTACTCTCAATAATAGCAGATTTTATCCATCACTATTCATGTTACCCCTGACTCTGTCATAGGTCTTGGCAGATCTGTTTAGTCGTATGTTGTCACAAGGGAAAGAGGAGTTGTTCATCTCTGTGTCGTTCGTCCAGGTTTGTCCTTCTATTTAGTAGCATCGCCATAAATCATATTAGACACAATATGGTGCAGGATAACTTCTGATGTTTATCAATGTCAGTTTTACCCAGATGGCAATGCTGTGGATCTCCTGAGCCCCAATATACAGACTCTAAAACTTGTGGTACACCCCGTCCTTGGAAGGTGAGTGCAGCTGAAGACCGTCGATTTATCAAAACACAACAAACACATACGTACACACCACTTGTACATTTACCATAGTATGAAGTGTAAACCTATTGTCTATTTTCTCAGTCTTGTAGGAGGTTTATGTGAGGTGTGTGTGTGCTCAGCAGAAGAAGCCTATACTCTGTATGAAACATGCAGGGAGACCCTGAAGGCCGATGCAGGCTCCATTTCTAGCAGGTAAAGCGCAGTCCAAACCGACTCTGGCCATGTAATCAATTAACTGAATTACTTTGAATGGATTAATTACTGTGGGCGGTCTCAATAGAACTAAGTGTCTTACTGTCGCATTAGTGATTGGATTGTCACGGAGCAAATTTGTCTCTTGTGTTTTCTCATTAGGACGTTGTCATTCAAGTTCGAGTCCTGACCTTTATGAATGAATTGACTTGTTATTGTCACTACATGCTCACCGTGGTGCGTGTGCTTCCCTCAGATGTAGTTCCCTGTTCTCAGTGGCTGTTGAGTGGAAACTTCATCCAGAGGAGGGGGAGTCGGAGGTATGCCGCAGCAGACTGCATCTGTTCAGACTGGCAGGAGGAGCCAGCAGGACTGACCTTAGAGGGTTCGTCATGTACTCAATTACAGTCCAGCTATCTGTTACATGGCCAGAGGAACTGAAAATGATATGCTGATGTTCAGCTAAATGTTTAACACTATTCTGACTGATTGGAGGTTTTCCCTGTGAATTAAAGAGGTACAAGAAAGGGGCAAAGGATCTTATGGTGGAGGAGGAAATGCTTTTAGAAGCATTGGTTACAACCTATTAACCCTTTTTTTCCCAGTATGCCCGTCCGGGTGATGTGCATGCTGGCTCACTGTCACACCAGCTGACACATGATTAGAACAAAGCCAACGTTAATTTACGACAAGTCAAAATCTCTACAGTGAAAGATAAATATGAATCAAGTCAAATCAACAATGAAGACATTTGCTTCCCATGTAAACATTATTATCAAAATCATGCAAGATCTTCTGCCATGGAAAGACGTTATTTCAGCCAGATTTCATATTCACTGAATTACATTCATGTCCACTTTACTAGTCAATTAAATAAGCCTTGCAGCTTGATGGGTGATGATGATGATGGTGGTGAAAAAAGCTCAAGTAACACCTCAGAAAACTAAAAGGTGTGAGGTTGCACTGTGCACATTTAGCAAATGTTCCTGTTTGTATAAAACAGTATATTGATTTCTTGTACACTACCGGCATGAAACAGCATACTAACAAGTTTAGTATACACTGTATATAATTAGTATGTGATGTCAGGAAAAGGTAATAGTTTAATACTGATGTGGAAAACTTCTGGTCAATCTTCACTTTGATGAATGATAGAACACACTTCATGAGCCTCAGCTGTCCTTACTTGAATATAAGTTTATTACAACACAAACCTGATTAAGATCTTGGCACAGCATGTATAGCTGGACACAGTCAAACAAAACTTAAAGTAGCATTACTTTTGCTTAGATTTATAAAGCATGCCCTGCATCTCACATAATCACATACAATCACACCACCAGTGAGGAGGCTGAACAATGTGTATCAAGACTATTCATCATGGGAATCTGGAACATCTCCAAGGTCTTTATCTTCATCTCAACACCCAGAGCCTCCTCACATAAAGCATACCAGGTGTAAAGAACTCTGAGGCCTCGTAAAATACAGAACTATGACAACACGTCGAATCATTTTCTCCCACAAACATTTTCCAGAGTCAGCCCACTGGTGAGTGTTGTGGACCAAGCCCAATGTGAAGCCACAACAAGTGACAAGATCCTCCCTTTCCTCCTAAACGATGCCGTAACAGGAAACAGCAGGACGGCCCTCATCTACTGTATCAACCCTCAAGGTAAGTGGTCCTCTGAGCCCGGCCTCACCAACTTACCCAGAATCCTTTGAGCGTAGAAATAACTTTTCTTTATCCATCAGGTCTTCTAGATGACGAGACCCCCTCCGCTTTAGCTTTGGCCCAGAAAGCGAGACGTTTGGTGACCAAGGCCACTGTTTATCGCTGGTGTCCAAGAGCAACCGAGCAAAAGATCAGAGGTAACATCGTGGACCAAAGAAACGTGATGATGTCGCAGGGGGAAAGTGAAGTTCACAACACCCTCAGGCTAGCAGAACTGACCCAAAACCTGCAGGTTATTCATTTAATGAACCTATAAAGAAATACTGCTTTCTCAGCGTAATCTGTAGAGACTAAATGAGATCAAAGCTAAAATACATTCTGCCATCTTTCAAACAGATTGTGAAAAATCAGTCTTGGGAGAAGAGGAGAGGAGAGTCAAAGAAGATAAAAGGCAAAACACAGGTTCCTAAAGTCTTGAAAATTTCCACAAAGTTTAACAAAATGACAACAGATTGTGTGTGATCCCAACATTATGAAACGAGTACCATGTTGTGCATTGTTTTACAGAGTTGTCGGACTCCAGATAACAATTTGCAGAGCAGTGATCACAGAGAGGGTGCAGACACAACGAAATACTTGCAAGCCCAACTGAAACAGGAAATGGAAGAACATATCAGAGGTAATTTGCTGTGGTATGAAATATGTTTATATATATATATATATATATATATATATAGGGACAATATGATATTGAGTGTTTCTCATATCCACAGAGGGTAAAGGGGATGTAGAGAAAGTGCAGGAGAGAGTAGGAAGAATCCAGCAGCTGAGGGATGCTCTCAGAGAGGAGACACTCAAGAGTGGACCTGCTGCAGAGAAATCTGACCTCTGCCAACAAGTAATGCTCTCTATCAATTAAATATGATATTGTTTGCCTGAATATGTGATTGGGTAATGTGTTTACAAGGCTTTGTGGACACCCCATTAAACAGATTAACAAGATTTATGTGTGTGACAGTGGGTTGTGCCCACACTCAGACATTTATTTTGCCAATTTAAGTCTCAGTTGGAATACAGCAAAGCACAGGAACAGAGGAGGCAACTTAAGGAGGACCACTGGAGATTAATTCAGGAGGAGGTGCAGAAGATGGAGAGAGACTTGGCACAGGAAGAGCTACCGGTGAGATAATGAGATACACTGTTCATTATTCAGTTTGTGATCTATCTCAGCTGAGGATGCTGAGTCAGTTTGAATTAATTCAAGGCTGGATTTATGGTGGGCAGTGGAAACTACTGCATGTGCAACTTGATTCTGTTATTCCCTTGCATTTTTTTTTATTTTTATGGGTTCATCCATTCCTCTGCTAGACAGAAGGCCCCCAGAGAGACCTGCTCGTGCTGACCACAGAGAGGCGGGTCCTGGTGCTACAGATAGAGGCCCTGCGCGCTGAGGCCCAGCAGGCTGAGAGAAACCTGCAGGATCAATATCATCACCACCAAACAGAGCTGCATTGTCTAAGAGACGAGAGCCTGCAGGTTGGAGTTTGTCAATGAGAGATTCACCTTTTTCCATTTAATTCATTTTTTACTAGTTTTATAGTCTCCTTCACCAACAGGCGGATAGATAATTCATTGTCTACGTTACATGTTTTACTGCAGGTGTTCAGAGTGTTTCGTCAGGTAAGTGAGGAGCAGAGGAGGATGTCAGAGGGCAGATACAGAAGTGTGTTGCTGGAAGCTGTGCAGGATGCCGTCTACCTCTCTGCCCAGAACCAGGAGCTGCAGGCGGACAACAAACAACTCCGTAAAGGTCAGCATATGTTCCTTAACCTCTGGCTGTTATGTTGGAGATAGAACTTCCCCTAACCTCTAAAAAGGTAAAATGTTGCAGATATGATTTTCTCTTTTACAGCATTGGGAGAGTTAAGGGATACTCTAGCTGTGCGAGGTGATCCTACGGCTGAACTGTTATCCCAACAACATTGAATGTATGACTGAAAGACGTTTCTCGATCAGTGTGCTTAATGCACATCATTGGAAATAAAACTGGTTTTGACAGTTTATTAGTTATCATGAACACACTTTGACATTGTTCTTGAAATACAAAAATCAAAAGTACACTAGCAGCCCTCTTCAGCAATTCTTAACTGAAGATATAATAAAATTGTGAATTAAATAAAAAAAAGTTAATTGTCAAAGTAGTTTTCAGCTGACAAATGTTCACACATGATATGGTCTGTTGTTACACATGGAAATATGCGTTGGATTCTGGATGTCAGAAGGCAGATAGATATAAGGCAGAAAACAAATGTACAGACTGTAATGAGTTGACTGGGCCTTGTGGTTCAGTTATTAACTATCTGTAGTACATGAAAGCTGCCAGTCCAATCATTGAAATGGGTAGGAGGAAAAAAGGTGTGAGCTGCAGCCCCAAGATGGCCCAAGACAACAGAGCGTTCACCAGCATGGAGCAGGAAATGACAAACAGTCTGGTGATCCCGCTGCCGTGCTTGAGCACCACAGACATCAGAAGTCCATTAGCTGCCTGCCCTGCTATAATGACCCAAACCACCCCCGAGTATCCCTCCAGAAAGCTCTTTTCAGCTGCTGCAAAGGAGAAGGAGGATAGCCCATTGATAGCCACACCAAACACATAGAGGTAGAGATTCTGCAAGCTGAGGGGCAGCTTCTGGCTCTTCAGCACCCTCTCTGTGTAAACTGCTGCAAGCCCTGAAACACAGCAGTACACCAGCACAAGGAAAAGCCCCCAAGCTGTGATATGAAGGCTGAGACCTTCCTCAGCGTCGGCCCTCTCGGGGTCCCCTAGATCCAGGCTGCTGTAGCTGTGACACACCCCTGCACCCACGAGGAGCCCCACAGCCAGCCACTGAGAAGGCCTGAGCCTCTTGCCCAGGCAGAGGGAGTACAACAGGGCGGTGGAGGCAATTTTCAGGTTAGAGAGGACTTGGTATGAGCTTGGGTCCATGTAGGCCTGCATGAGAACCACCAGGTTGTTGTTTAGGGCGTAGAGCATCGCAGGGACTGCATAGGGGGCCACACGGACTAGAGGTGGAACAGCATGTAAGGCGGATGTACCCCCGGTTGAAACGAGAGTCGCCAGAGAAATCAGGAGTTTGGATAACTCAATCATTACCACACATGACGAGGGGTTGAAAGGGACTTGACCGTCTACCTTGGTGAGAGAAATGAGCGGTGCATGAGAGCCATAGATGAGGACCATCAGCCCAAAGAGGACACCCCACAGAGTCCTTTTCACCCACCGTCTCCTAATCCTTGCTGGGGAACCGGGTCCCACATTCTGGATCACAATCATCCTCAATGAAAATAAACAATTTCTCCCATTATTTTTTGTATTAAATGAGCCTCAACCATTTAAATATCTACTTTAAAATACTTGTGCATTATTCTCTTAACATTAAAACCTCAAAAGTCTTCCATTCTGTGTAAACATCACACAGACACAAGCGGAAATGAAGCAGCAGTATTTAACTGAAACCAGAACAAAAATAATAATCAGCAAATAAAAAACATCAGGCTTTTACTTTGAAATTCCAGTTGTATCATTATATCCATAGTCCAGTCAAGGCCGAAATCTTGAAGGCTGATCGTCACAAGCCACCGACAAAGACAGCTGCTGCAACACTATTTCTCTCTTGTGCCTTTTATGTCAATGACAAGAATAGTCAGCCCGGATTATTTTGGTCCTTTTCTAATGCTGTTCATATATTCTTTCACGGTCCTTTCAATGTTGGGCACTTGATAGTTCTGTGCCGAGTAAATGCCAGCGATCGTTCCCAGCAGCACTCCCAGGAAGGCAGAGGAGCGTAGCTTGGCCACCACATAGCCGGCCAGAAAGCCCTTCAGAAACGGAGATCCCAACACCGAGCTTCCCTTCAACATTAAGAGAATGACAGAGGCATTTTAAGCACAGTCCCAGCACAGAAACAGGACAAACAGATGGGTGAATAAACATTGAACATATTTAGCAGATCAAAACATCCTATTGTCAACAATGGAACAACGCAAAATAATCATAGGGACAAATAAACTCCATCACCTTCAGTGTGGGGAAATGCATTTTAATTTCAAAAATAAAAAAAGGTAAATAAAGGGCAAATATTGCTTGTGCTTATTTACATTTGGTAAAGGTTGGTAGACGAGGGCAAACCCCTTTTCACAACAGCTGAAAACTATTTAAACTTCATTCACCACTGGCGTGGTAATAATCAGGGGCACCTTGAACAACTTACCTGAGGAATTCCTACAGACACCTCGCTCTCTACTCGTCTCTGGATCTCCTCCAACTGATTCTTGAGTCGTGTCAGGTCTTTTAACTGTTTCAGAGGATCCTATAATAAAAGCAATAACTCACATTTTAATTACGAAACAGCGCATCAAATTCCAACGTTAATGTAACTGAGGATAGCTAGCGTCACTGTGCATCATAGCCTAAAGTTACTGACACAATCTACCGCGAGGAGCTTCTGTAAGAAAACGGCACATTCTCTCGAAGTTTGCTGGTTAGCTAATTGCAACACAACTTAACCGGCTCAATGCTCGATTAAGTTTAATTAGAAGCGATCATCGCCGGGGTAACTATTTTTTTTAAGCCAATTGCTGCTGAGAGGACCCGTTTTTCGTCCTCTTCTATCAGTTACTGTCATCTGACGAAACATGAAGTTAAAACATTTAAAAAACAGAACACAGCAACTCACTACTCACCTTGTCACCCGCCATTTTTGCTCAGCAGGATGATCGGTGTTCGACTCTTAAGCCTGGGACACTTATTTTTGCTGAAGCTCGATTAACTTGACCTGGGTTATTGCGTCAGTGTGCCCGCAGTTTTGTTTTATAGGATAAAATAAGAAATGTATTTATCCCTCCTCTGTGACTTGTTGCTTTTATTTTGCAGTTTAAAATATCTGTTTAATTTTCCACACTGACACTAATCATTTTAGTGGCATACCATAATATACCCTGGATTAGTGGGTTGTACCCGATACCAACATGTTGAAGTAACTTCATGTAAGCTGTTTTTGGATAACAGCTAATGTCAGCTAATGTAATATAAAACAGGTGAGGGGGGGAAATAAATAGCATCAATAACGCCTCTGGATGCACGCGATGCGTTACTTTCACGTGTCAAATACGTCTTCCGTGATTGGCCCGTACTTATTTATTCCGGCATTTGATTGGTTGAAGATCATGGCAACACACCGCCATGTTTTTACAAGTCGACGAGAATGGAGGCTACTTTACAGACATTTATGCATCGCAACTCCTGATTTAATATGAAGTATAGGCGAATTCCAGCATTACTTACCGTCGGCACAATGCCTGACTTTGTCGGCGACTTCTAACGGTTGTTCAGAGCAGTTTGTAGAGCTTCGGGTCATCGTAGGTAAGGCTTCAATAAGAAGGCATTTCATTGGATAACTCACGGACTGTGCAGGCAGTATAAGCACACGCTATTAAACCTACTTTTGAAGCAGGGAAGGACCAGTGAATTGAACATGTTTGTCTCCCAAGAGCCCTATGCATGACAAGTTTCCATGATATTTAAGTTTGACTCAGACACTTTTGTGCTATATTCTCTGTGCATGAAGTTACAGCCCGTAGTCAAATTACCCTTCTTTCTGTGGCTTTTATTCGACCATGTGTCTCTGTTAGCTTCTTATCGGCTGAAATATAGCTACCCACTGAGCTATGATCAACTTCAGAAATCCAGTTCTGTCATTAATGTTTAGAATTAATGCTGCTCAATTATATGCCTGCTGTATGGTCTACAAATTAAGGGGTTAAAAGCATATTATGCAAAAGCAATATATATTTAATAAACCCATCTTTTGCTAAAATTGATGCAGTCTGACACAACATCCCTGCAATAAACTACTTTCGCGAAGGCTCAAACATAAACAACCAACTAATCTCATACTATTTTTCAAGTTTGCCCGAGATCTTTGGAGATCATGGAGAAAGTGGAGGTGTTTGAGGTTGTGAAAGTGACTGAGGAGGTGGAGAGCTACTACAGTCAAATGGAGGTCCCTATTCCAAAAAAGAGGAAGAGCAAAGCTCAAGAAGACAGTGTTGAGAAACCTAAGAAGCCTAGGTAATGTACATAGTCCAAAGGACTGTCACACACAGCTGCTACAATATCATGATGCAAATTATGGCCTTTTCTTAGAAAGGGATCGGGTCTCTAAAGATAAAATGTCTCAGCCACTGTCATGTACTGATTGAAGATGTGGAATGTCTCTGTCTGTATTTCTGTCTTAGGTCTGCCTACCTGCTATACTACTTTGATGTTCATCAGATTATGCAAAAGGAAATCCCGAATCTACCACAGTCAGAGATCAACAAGAGAATCAGCGAGAGCTGGAAAAGGCTCAGCGTAGCTGAGAAAGGCTACTATCTGGAGAAGGCCAAGTCGGAGAAAGAGGGCACCGACACTGTAAGCTGCAAACTTGTTTTACATAAACAACCCAGTGCATGTGAGCACCCATGGAGGCTTTTAATAAAACCTCCTCATGTTAATAACATCAGAATAAACCTGCCTGTTGCCTGTTAAAAGGTTTGTTTTGATATCTTTCAATGGTCAGAAACTCTTTACTGTTTTTTTGCAGTAAAATGATGTTTCCTAGGTTCCAAGAGATACTCAATCAAGGTGATGCCAAGTAAAATGCAACACATTTTAAACAATTTAATGATCGTTAATCACCTAAATGATCAAAAAGTGCAAAACAATTTGCTCGAGGATAAACTGAACATACGATGATAGACAAGTCATTCTGATACCTGCAGGGATAATAATGAATATTCTGTTGCATCAGTACAACCTGCAGCTGTAAATTCATGATAGTGACAAGCTAAGCCAATCTTTATGAAAATGTTTTCCAACAATGGAGTGCTTGATTTTGTATTGGCTCTTGAGGATATCAGAGTCCTTCTGTATGATTATGCGCTGCGCAGCACTCATGTAGTCAATTGGCTTGATTTCATTCGTAATGAATACATTTGGCTCATGTAACTGCAGATGAAGTCAGGAAGAAGTGACCCATTAACATCAAGAACCATAGCGCAGATAAACTGTTGTCTCAACAGTGGCCTAACTCACTGGTGTCTAGTATAATGTCAATGTGATGGATCTATGAAAAGCTAAGAACAATATTCTCGATTGTGCTTCTTCCTCAGTCGTCTCTCAACCCCTCCAAAGACCTGCCAGGCTTCCGCAAAATCCTCCCCAGAGCCAGTTACTTTCTCTTGTCCAAAGGCTCCTCAAATCAGCAGCTGGGAGGCTCACAGTCAGAGGTGAGCTTGGAGACTCTGGACTCTCCAGTGGAGGGAGGCCTGCCTTCCGTCTCTCTCCCCCAAGAGCCCCAGTTCACACCTCTTGAGTTGGACAGCGAGGCGGAGCTTTCTGAGCAGCCCATTGATGTCGACGACATAGCAGAGGAAACAGAAGTGGCGTCTAATCCCACAGACCCTCAAGGCATCCCTCGCTGCTCATCCTCCTCTGTCTCATGCAAAGCCCCGTCCTCTCCAGACGCCCACGTCTCACAGGGCTCTGGTGGCCTTACAGCAAATGGGGTCCCTCTGAAAGGAAAGGAGACCAGAGTTACTGGTAGTGGTTATGGTGGGGCGATGGTGCAGCAGATACAGGGGGAAACGACACATGTGGTTTCCATCGTACCCACACAGGTGAGACCCAAATGTCTTTCTACCACTTAGCAGAATGAGCTCAAATTATTCAAGAATTATTGACCATTTTAATCTCATAAAGCTGTTTTAACTAATGCAGTGGAGTGATTTATCCATCCCTCCAGAACCTGCTGGGGCCCAAGTCTTTGCCAGGTGCCAGCTCTGTGGGCCCAGTGATGATGGTCTCTGTAGGAGCCAGCACAGAACAAAGTGCCAAACCTTCCTATAAAATGGTAAGTACCCACATTATTCACTTTATGACTTTATGTCAGAACTGAAATTGGCAAGCATAGAGTCTACACACAGAAACGAACCTCCATGATTTGCTCTTTTTTTGCAGTCTGTTAAGACATACACCCGAAGAGGTCGAGGGAGGTGTCTAAACCCTGGATGTTTGTTTGTGTATGTCACCCGCCACAAGCCACCAAAGTGTCCTGAATGTGGGAGCCACTTGGGTGGAAAATGGATACCTGCTGTAAGTATCAAACAATATCTGCACCGACAGTTTGGGATGCTCAAACTTATACGAACATCTAAGAGTTGCACAAAGATTCAGCCTGCAGCTTTTACCTGCGGCTCAAGTCCGTTAACTTTGTCTGCATGTTTATGTTAGGCGAAGAAGACTCAAGAGAAAGAACCTGCGCCCAAGCAATTGCCCCAGAAAGCTGAAACCAAGACTAATGAAAGCTGCCAAGCCACACCTCCCCTGGCAGATGTCCATGAAACAAACGCTGCTGGGAGCAAAAAAGTAGGGCAAGTTCAACAGCGCTCCAGAAAGCAGCATGCAGTTCCAGCTGCTAAGCCACCAGAGGGCAGCAGCACCAAGGAGCAGGAAAAAACAAAGTAAGCGCCCATGACATTTTAAAGCCAGTTTTTTTTAATCGTGTTCCGTTTGCCACATGGATCCCGACAGCATGTTGACCATGTGGACTGTGACAGTTGTGTGAAAACTGCTGTATTTGCAGATTAGTGTAAATATTTACATTACTTGATATACGTGTCATGAATAGTTTTTAATTGTTTTTTTCAATGCTGAGCTGTATAAAAGTGTGGGAAGCCTTCAGTTAACCCGAAAATATGGATGGAATTCATTTATAACGAGACCTGTTTGTGTTGTTATTGCAGCTGTTTTTTTTACTTCGTTTTTATTGAGAGTATTTGAAAAAAGCATTTTGTTTTTGCACCATAGGTCTTTCTCAAAATTACTCTTTCATATATTGTTGCAAATATACAAGCACAGCTGATATGACTGAAATCTGCTTTGTTGCAGCATTAAAGAACATAGAAATCCTTCATAATTTCAATAAAGTCTTCTAATCGGCGGTTTAGACTGAAACCATTCTTCTGTGATAGTTCTCTTACTTGTAGTCAAAAGTATTTTAAACAAATATTTCTGTCTTACTAAAGTTTATTGCAGCTGTTTTGATGATTGTGTGCATCATGTGACAGTCAGGTATAAAAAATATTGCTATATGCTATAAAAATATTTTTCTCAAAAATTCCACACAATGACTGATGCATATGTTCAGGACAAAAATTGGTAATATCACAATATTTGAGGTGCTACAAACCTATCTTTCTCAATAATTCCATACAATGACTGATGTATATGTAATCAAGGCATCGTTGACTTAATAATTGTTAATAGTTGTTTAAAACATTTAATAATAACAATAAATAACCACAAAGAAATAAGAATACAATTGAAGGTACTGCAGGGGGTCCGCGAAATATTTGGTTGATTAGACAATTTTTTATTTTATTTTATTTTTTCCAAACATGAATGTGTCCATTATTTTAATAGTTCAGTACTGTATGCAAGATAACAGGTATGTTTATGCATGGCAGTGGCACTAATAGGCCATCACTCTTTCGTTTCCACATTTATGTTTAAAATGAAAACGTCACTTTAAATAGCTTGTATGCATGATTATCATGCAATTGACAAAGAATGTTGATATTGGCATTGGTATTAGCTGACAAGGTATGTTTCTAAATGGCAGTGGCACGGCCACCCTACTCACTGTACATTGCACATGTTTAAAATAAAAACATGAATATATGAACCTGTGTATTATTTGAATAGCTTAGTATTGAATGCACAATAAAGAGGTGTGTTTATATATGGCACTAGGCCCAGTTTAAAATAAAACACAATTTTATGCAATATATATAGTCGGGGGTCCCTGCTCCATCTCTCTATCAGTTTGGGGGTCCTTGGCCTGAAAAATGTTGAAGACCCCTGCTGTAGACTAATAGTCCTAATCGTCTTATTATTGCCATTTGATGACAATTGCTGATATACTGTAAGCCTAAATAAGTCTATTTATTATTTTGAACAAAGGTTAAATGTTATTTTACAAGTTTCAAAAAGTGCCCCCAATTCTTTTTAAATGCTCCTGGATTTCAGTCAGTGGGGGCAAAAATTGCCCCCTAAAAAATATGTAAATTTCCTACCCTGATCTCACTTGATGTACTTTCCTGCTGTCATTGAGTAGACGGATGAAAGTCTGTCTTCAGAGCACGACGGTCCACGGTCAAGACCGAAGCAATGCTACACTTCAAAAGAGGCCCGTGAGACCCATCCTTCCTGCCTACTACAACACAGGTACGTTAAAACATACAGCACACAGGCAACATCGTTCTCAGTGTTGAATTCAGCTGTTATCATGTGGATTTACATATTGGCTGTTTGTGTTTCCAGGCCGTGCTATGTTCCAGATCATAACTGTCCCACCTGATAAAATAAAGTTTCAGAGCGCAAGCGACAATAATTCATCCACTGGTACTGTGCATCATTTGATTTTATTTGTATTATACTTTATTCAATGTAATCTTTCAGTTTGTAGTTTGGATACGGTTTTATTGTATGTTCAGTCAGTGCTTGTTATTGGCATAATGTACTGTATTATACAGAGAGGAAGTGATATATGTGCCTGCACTTTCTGAGGTCACAGCTCTTAACTGATGTGGTCGTTGTCTAACCACAGTGCCGAGAGAGAGTTTGTCAGGTCTCAAACCCAGCACTTTAAAGCAGCTCGGCCAGACGGTCCCGACAAAGCAGGTTAGCGCGCACACACACACACAAATACAGACAGCAAAGATTCAGATTTGGTCCAATATTGACTTTTTCTGTCTGTCTTTCGTAGGACTCTTCGGTCCCCGCAGGTGGAAGCCAGCCCATGTCTTCATTGGTTGATAAGGGAGTGAATATCCTGTCATTCGTGCCTTTCAAACAACACACCGTTTCCAGCTTTGTCAGTATACTACTATTCTCGTTACACTAAATGTTCCTTTCTAATACATTTTTGTTTCTGGATATCCCCTCTTATCTTGATTTTCGGGTAATTCTTCCTCTTCTTTGTTCTTTTAGGATTTGGGACTGTCGACAGCTCGAGGAAGGGGTCGATGTAAGAACCCGTCCTGTGACTATATGTACAAGAACAGACACAAACCTGCAGTGTGCCCTAAATGTGGCTGTGAGCTGACTCAGAGGAACGCCAAGGGAACAAAGGTGAAAGCTGACTTCCTTCAGATGGTCCAGAAGTGTATGATTAGTTTCCAGCCGTATCTCTTGCCCTTGACGCTCTTTATGAGTCTCAGAACAACCTTGGATCCCTGAGCACCTCCTAGCATCAATAAATCTCCACTTAAGGCTGTAAAAGGGCTTAGAACATTATGATAGAGCCATATGATGGCCATTGCTCACTATGTCTCATAAGATGTTGCAGCAATTTATGGGTGAATACCATTTGTTACACAGATTTGGTGCTACATTTAACAATGCTTTACCACTTGAGAATTCATTGAAGATGATGAAAAAATCCCCCCAAAACACCAGATGAATTCACCAAGACCTTGAGGAACACCATAGAAACATCCATGCTGTAACTTGGTCTCCAAAAGTTTTGACATTTGGAGATTCCTGCAGGAATTGCAGTTTTCACTAACTAGACAGGAGCAGTTCTGCTCTGGTAACTGCTCAGAAACGCTCTTATTGTCAATATACTGAGGAAAGCCGTACATCTGATGAATGCCCATGGTCTGTTGTGGTTGTAAAGTTTCATGAAGCTGTGATCCGAGAGCTCACAACAGGTCATTTCACATAGTGACGTCAAGTTTTAAAAAATGGTCTCACTATGTGAAATGGCTACGATGGGCACTAACATCTTCACACATGAATGCAATAATGTCCCCAGTATGCAGAAATATTCAAATATACCGTTTTTAGAACAGGCAAAATTACACATTTATACTGCATGTGAATAACTGCAGTCTGGGATTATCATGAAGTGGGTGCCATAGAATCCATTTTCATTCACATGTTTAGAGATGAGAGGTTAAGGGCCCCCCGTGTTAATTGCAATACCAGTTTTTACTCGTCAACATTTAGCTTAACTTTGGAGCGTTATTCAGCCTCCTTACCAGTATCTTCTCTCTAGCTTTAAGACTGAGCCCACTAAAGCCTCTTAAAGACAGTAACGTCGGCCATCCCGCGGGTGTCAGAGGGTTAATGGTGATTTATTTTTTCCTCTTCTCAGTCTGAGACTCTGCTCGATCCGTACCAGACCCTGAGTCCTGCTCAGAAGGACATCCAGCGCCAAAATACCCTGCAGTTACTGCACCGTTCCCTGCAGATTCCTGAGAGCGAGGCTGAGCTTCAGGAAACCTTGAACCTCATCCAGGAGCTCAACAGTCTCCAGATTGTCTTGGTTCAACCATGTGGACAGGAGCACGAGGACAGCTTGGAGACGGAGACAGAGACGCTGGTAGAGTCTGGGTGGCCTCAGTTCTATGAGTCAGCAGCAACTCACTGTGGCTTGTGTAACTATCCTCTCTTCAAAGGAGGTCAGAGGTGAGAAGATGGGTCTCTGTATTCTAACCATCCTGCCTCTGACTTTTGTCGGCCCATACCAACATGCTGTGTTGACGTTTTCCCTAATGTATCCTCGTGTGTGTGTGTGTGTGTGTGTGTGTGTGTGTGTGTGTGTGTGTGTG